CAGGTGGAGAAAATTTAGTTCCCGACTCATGTGGCAAGTGTTGATTATCATAGAGAAAAGGGTCTAATCTAGGGATGGCTATCTCTTGGTGGTTAGAGGGCATGGAATCTTTAAAAGGAAATCGATTTTCATGAAAGGTGACATGCCTACTAACCATCATAGCCTTGGTGGTTAGGTTATAAAGGAGAAAGCCCTTTTGATTTGGGGGATAACCCATAAAGACACATGGTTCAGATCTGGGCTGGAGTTTATTATGGCTATTTTGTATAGTGACAAAGGCTAGACAGCCAAAAACTCTAAGGTGCTACAAGTCTGGTTGTTTGTTATACAATTTCTCATAAGGAGTATGGTAGCCTAAAAGTTTAGAGGGGGTCCTATTGATTAGAAAAGCTGCAGTTTTAATGCTCTCCCCCCAAAATTTAATAGGAACACCAGAATGAATAATAAGGCTTCTAGCAACATTCAGTAAATGCCTATGCTTCCTCTCCACAACACCATTTTGTTGTGGTGTGTAGGGACAAGTGGTTTCATGAAAGATTCCTTGATGACTGAAGTATGTCCTAAGTTGATTATTAATAAATTCTAACCCATTATCGCTCCTAATTCTCTTAACAGTGGCAGAAAATTGAGTATGAACATAGGCAATAAAATCTTGCAAACAACGAACACTGTCATTTTTATTGATCATCAGAAATACCCAAGTACATTTGGAGAAATCATCTACTATGGTAAGAAAATATTGATGACCTTTATAGGTGGGATCCTTATAAGGTCCCCAAGTGTCAACATGAAGCAATTCAAAACAACATGTAGTACTAGAAACACTAGAAGGAAAAGGTAAACGAGTCTGTTTGGCTTGAGAACACACAACACAGGTGGTTTTAGAATCAAGTACAATGTCACTCTTGATAGCATCTAAGTGTTTAAGGACATCTAAAGGAGCATGACCAAATCTGTTGTGCCATAGAGCAGAAAGATGAGTACTGTATTCATTATCTGTTGTATTTATGATAGCATCCAACTTAATCGCCTTGCCAATTAAGTATAGCCCATCACAAAGTTTACCAATCACATGAGAATTTCCAGTCAAGATTTCCTGCAAAGTGCAGAAGTCAGGGTAAAAAGAAATAATGCAGTTTACTGCTCTAGTTAATCTAGAAATTGAGATCACATTATAACAGCATTCCGGGGCATAGTACACATCAGTTAAAACAATGTTATCAAATAGTTTGACAGTGCCTGTATGTGTGACAGTGATTTTGTCTCCATTAGGCATTTTTATCCTCCTAACAGGTCCAATATAAACACTAACACTATCAAGCATAGTTAAACTAGAAACAACATAACAAGAGGCACCGGAGTCTAGTATCCAATGAGTTCTACTTAAGGAGACTGGAAGGGCATTGATCAAACCTGAGATATGTTCCTCAATGGGTGCTGCTATACCAACTGCCACCTCCTCTGAATCCTTCTGGAGAAGCTGTAGGATTCGATTGTATTGTTGTTGAGTGATTACTGGTTGAGAGTTTGCTGAAGGCTGATCTCCTGTAACTTGATTAATTTGACTCTCTGACTCTTTCTTGCCCTTGAAATTGGGAGGATACCCAATAAGTTGGTAGCAATTGTCCCGTTTATGCCCTCTTTTATGACAATAGGTACATTCTTCACCTTGAGAACGACCTCTACCTCTCCCTCGAGTTTGTCGTCCTCCTCTAATTGCCATAGTTGCCCCTTCTAATGGATGGTTGGGGATTTGAGAGGAAATCATACGGTGATCCTCATCTTGTGTAATCATAAAGTAGGCTTGATTAACAGTGGGTAAAGGTGACATGAGAAGGATTTGGGAACGAACTTGCTGATAAGACTCATTCAGTCCCATAAGGAATTGGAATAACCTCTGTTGTTGAATAATCTTGACATATGCCTGGGCTGTGTCACACTTGCAAGACGGCAATGGGACAATAAGGGAATATTCATCCCATAATTCCTTAAGCTTTGTAAAGTAGGCTGCAACAGTGAGAGTGCCTTGTTGAATCGTAGATATGCTTCTGTGTAGAGTGTATATCTTTGTCCCATCCATTTTTTGAAAACGCTCCTCCAAATCTTTCCAAACTAAATGCGCTGTATCAGCAAACACAATCCCGGTAGCTATCTCTTTATCGACCGAATTAATTATCCAAGATAACACTACTGCATCACATCGGTCCCATTGATCGGTCAATTCAGGATTTTTATCACGCCCGTAACATCCATCAATAAACCCCATTTTATTCTTCCCTCTGAGAGCTAAACGCATAGCTCGGCTCCATATGACGTAATTATTGGAGCCGGTCAAAATTTGAGAGACGAGGGTTGTTGCTTAAGTGTCCGAAGGATGAAGATACAAGGGGTGATTCACGTCAATTACCATCTTTTTGGACGCCATTAGAGATTCGAGATCGAAGGGGAGAAAGAATGAGGAATAAAAAGAGAGAGAACTAAAATTTTGTAACCAAGAACCTGTGAATTTGTGACTTGAGGACTCTTCTCCCCAAGATTGCAGTGGAAGAACCAAGAGAGGAATACCCACGATTTTGCAGGGATTGAACGTGATCTAAGAAGAAAATTGAACACTGGCAAGTACAAAACGCAATCAAACTTCCAGCATCAAACAGCCACTCTTGCACGACGTCGATCTAAGAATCTAGCGAACGTGCAGCTTATCGGCCAAGAAGATCATCGTGCGGCATTGAACGGAGATGGACAAGGCGTGCTCGCTGTAATTGTCACAAGAAATCTCCCGATATTGCAAGAACCCAAAATCTTGCTATCAACGCCGTCGTTTTGCTTCATCTAACATTGAAGCTGGCAAAAAAAACATCTCTATGCCTTCACACCATGAGCTACGGACTTGGGCCTTCAGGATTCATAACCCGACGCTCTGGTACCATGAAAACCAGATATTAACTACCTGAAAATATGATAACCCAGTCAAAGAGATATTGACTGGCAAGCCCATATATATATAGAGTTGTCCAAGTACATATAAGAAGTGGACCGGACGGTGGCCCAATCATGACTAGGCCCATATACATTCTAACAGTATCTCTCTCTTCCATCACAGCCCAGAACACGCAGATAACGGAAAGGAAAATAGTGGAAGATTGATCAGGAGGCTCACCTTGCAAGGTTAATAGGTTTGCATGTGACCAAAGCACCTCCAATCACTACCTTTGCCTTCGGCCTCGTCCGTCGCCGTCTCTGTTTTCTTAACTCTCCTCGTGCTCTCTCTCTATTCACCACAAGACGCAGAAATGAAATGAAAGAGGTGCATGAGTGATCTGATGATTAAAAGGGCAAGGTACCCATGTGAGGTATGTGTGTGGGGTGAAAATAACTCCTCATTTCCAATCTCATCCATCTCCTATTTTTTGAAGTGATGAATACTTCCACAATTTAATCCATAAAGAGTAATTTGAAATTCTCTTATCCAATAGCTTATTTGACCCTTAAATTAATTCCCATAAAAATCTTGGAATCAAAATCCTATTCTAACTATTTTTCTTCAATTGTCCAAGAAAATAGCCATTTATTTCAAAAATTAATTCTTAAATCATTTTAAGGATTTTATGCCTCAATTCCTTCTTTACTATCACAACTGGTTATCCTAAAATTTTAAGATTAGATACAAATCTCTAGGTATTTTTCTATAATTTTCTGAGAAAATGAACCATTTTTTCTTAGAATTATCTATTAAAATTATTTAAACCATTTTTAGAGAAATAACTTTTCCAAAATATTTCTAAACCCTGAGAATCACTATTCCATGCTTTTCCCCAATTTTAGTTGGCCATTAAATAATTTTAATAAATTTTTTCTTTTCTGCTCATCTTAAGTCAGAAAATTTGGGATGTTACATACATCATTAAAGTCTATATATTTGCCTTCTTGGATTTGGATGCCAAAAAAAAACAAAGAGAAAAAAAGAATACAAAAGAAGAAAAAAAATAAAAAAGGTAATAAAGAGAAGAAAATATATAGAAAAAGCCAAACAAAGAAAGTTATAGAAAAAAGAAGAAGAAAATAAGTTGCAACGAAAGAATAAATTTTGAAATAAGACATTTCATGATGATTCAAAGAGCAATGATTTCTGTTTCAAAAGCTTAAAATCTGCATATTGGTATCGTTTCATGATTGTACTTTAGCTCATTTTAAGTTGATACTTCACTATTCATGCATTTCACTTGGTAGTTCATTTCATTCATTTAGCCTTGCTTTCCAACACTATAACCCTTCAAGTCCTCTTCATCATGGGTCTAAGGTATGTTAGTGGTGGAGACATTATAATCTCTACAAGCTTATGGTAGGTGCTAATCTAGGCGGATTAAGTGAAATTTTTTTCACTTGAGAGTTGAGTGAGACACTCGTAACCTATGTGAGCTCTATTATGTTTCTCTTTCTTTTTCCTACTATGTTCTTGGCGTTAGTTTCTTTGCACTGAAGTATTCTATGATTGTTAATTGATTAGGAATAAAGGTTATTTGAGTTAATTGCACATTTATGCTTAGTCGATTTTATGTTTGCTTGCATTAAGTCACTCTATTGGATTCTTCTTTATTGTTGTTTTGTCCAGGAGTGTAAAAGGCTAAGTGTGGGGGAGTTGACAAACTCAATTATTTTTATATGTTTTCATATCTTTTTAGTGGGTTTTTGTCAACTTAATTAGTCCTTTTTGCATTATTTGATTATTAATTAATTTAATATGTTTTATTTTGAATTATCACTTTAGAGGGGTAAAATTGTTATATTTTGATTTAATTGTGATTAATAGATTTTTAAGGATAATTAATGCTACCTTATTCTTGAATTTTGTTTTCAGGTTTTTGGAAGATTTAAAAATAAAAATAAAAATAAAAAAGAGAAAAAAAGAAAAAAATCTAATAAAAAATAATAAATTAAAAAAAGAAAAAATAATAATAAAAAGGGGAGCAAAACGCAACTAATTCAACTGTTGATCATCTTCATATTCGGTGAGAAGCAGCAGACCGAAGGGAGAGGCACGAGCTTGACGGCGGAGAGTAAGATGACAGAGCGAACCAGAGGGAGAACACGAGACGAGCAGGGGAGCTCAATGGAACATCCATCATCTTCCTCTTCTCCTTCTTGGCGTCAAGATAACCAGCGTGAAGAGGACCAGTGACGGCGATGTGAAACTAGTACATGGAAGATCTATAACCCACCCATCACATCAAGATATAGTACTTGCAACGTACATCCACACCTACCAACGCTAATCATTGCAATCACATTTTGTGATTTTTAAGGATTAGTAGCTAATATCTTTGAACTTGGCGGGAAAAAAAAATTGTGTGACTTTCTGATTTTACAATTCACTGAAATTAGTGATCACTTGCGTCTAAAATTAAAAGCTTGCGCACAAGTCGGTGCAATTAAGAAGGGCAATATATGTTTTTTTTAAAAATAACTATCATATATTTGCCCCGTATTTAAAATAAGGGTTAAGGTGTAAATTTATTATAAGAGCTTTGGGTACTTAAAAGTTTTTCTAAGATATAAAATTTGCCCCAAAAATTTAAATTGTAGTAATATTGTCTTCTACCATAAAACATACTAACAATCAATAGCATTATTTTAATGGCTAATGTTAGTTTCTTAATAGTAGAGAGCAACATATTGCTATGATTTTAAATTTTTAAGATAAATTTACATTAAAAAAAATTCAGGTACCATATGCTCTTGTGTGAAAATTTTTAGAATAAATTTACACATTAACACTTTAAAATAAAATAACGAGACTTTACAATTTTTGCTTATATAATTAGAATAAGAGGGAGCGCATGCATGTGTGCAAATATAAATTTCGAACACCAAAATTTGTTTTATAGGTGTTAAGTCCTTTATTGGTTGATCAAAATACATTTATGTTTTATTTAATGATACCAATACAATTATTAATATGTTGGTATATACTAATATTCCAGCATCTAATTAATCACATCCGCAAAGAAGACAAATTTTGATTTTCTTTCACCGCACATTGATATTTTCGCTCATATAGATGAACCTTACAATAGTTGGCCAGTTGATAAATAGAGTCAAAAGATGATCCAGCCTCAGACAAAGCCATTTTTGCACTACGTTGAAGCTTTTTAACCCTTTCCCTCATGCACACACCTTCTTCTTCCACCATCACTCTTCTTATCAGCCTCTGTATTTCCTCTCTCTTCACCACCTCTGCTTTATTCCCACCCGTCTTCACCCTCACCGCCACCCCCATCTCCTCTGTCAGCGCCGCCGCGTTCATCTTCTGCTCCGCGTACAACGGCCACGCTATCATCGGCACACCATTGGTTATCGCTTCAAACGTCGAGTTCCAGCCACAGTGAGTCAAGAATGCCCCGACTGAAGAATGTTCTAGAATCTCTGACTGTGGGGCCCACATGGGGACCACAAGTCCTAACTCGTGGGTCCTACTCAAGAATTTCTCCAGCACGCTATCTCTGTTATTTTCTCCATACTCAAGCCTGAAGTATGAACCATGATTTTTTTCTTTATGTGGTGGTCGAACCACCCAAATGAATCTCTGTTGGCCTAACTCCAAACCATAAGCTATTTCTTCCATTTGTGCCTCCGACATGGTCCCGCCACTCCCGAACGACACGAAAATAACTGACTCAGCCGGTTGCCGATCTAGCCAACTTAAAACCAGATCATGATCCTTCTCGGTTCGGTTTGAATTGATGCCTCTCACTAACGGTCCGACCGGATAAATCTTTCCTCTTATAGCTTCACCACTTAATAAAGCTTTAAGTGTCGTTGGCTCAAGTTCTTGCCATGTGTTCACCAGAATCCCATCAGCGTCAGCTGTGTTCGTACACATTTTCATGAAGCCTTCGAACACCATTGGTTCATCTTTAAGCAACAATGGTTCCATGGTGTCCTCGAACTTAACCGGCTTACAACCCGGAATCTGTAGCGGTTCATGGTGTTTAACATGCCGGTCTAGCTGCTCCTTGTGGATGATAGGAATGTTTACATGAAGAGCAAGAACCCATGCACTGGAAGTGAAAAACACAAACCTAAGCATCTTGAGGTCGCGTGCCATAGTAAAAGCATTAGTGCCAAACATGTCAACAATGAGGGCTATTGGAAGAACTTTCATTGAGAGAATAGCAGAACGAAGCAGTGGGAGTGACTCGTCCATTGTGAACCTGATTCGAGTTCCTAATTGTGAGTTTAGTGCACCGAGTCTGCTAGAGACATCTACAGGTGGGAGTACGACAACGTTTAGCCCAGTGCTTTTAGGGTTTGAAGCTTGTTGGACTATCTGTGAATGTGTGGTTGGGGAATCCACAGTCACAACAAAGATGGTAACTTCAAAGCCATGATGAGAAATCAGACGTTTACCAAGCTCAAGCATTGGAATGAGGTGGCCCATTCCTGGGCCACGAAACAATGCAACATTAGGATTAAGTCTAGTTATCATGATCTTGGGAAGAAGAGAGAAGAAGAAGAAGAAGAATATGAAAGGAGACACTTGACTTAAAACTTGTTTGTGACTCCGATTGCTTGGCTTGCTTCAAATCACTAGTATTTATAGCCTCGTTTTAGCATACGTAGGCGGTGACAAGAAATTTCATGGCTCATACGGCAAAAGAAAGAAAGAAAATTAATGGCTCATATAATCTTTTATCTGAGTCGTGAAATCAAATATCAAAATTCTATTATTCAATTTCAGTTTGACATTTACTTCTATACATCATAGGGTTTAGGTAATTTTAATTACAGAGAACTTCTTTGAAGTAATCTTTTGTTAACGTTTCTCTCAACATACACTTACAATTAACATCTTTAAAGAAAGTTGTTTTTCAAATCAACTCATCCAAATGAATAATGCGGCACTCGATTAAGTTTTATTATATATGTATTTATATGGATATATTACTATTTTTTAATATATTCTTGGGTTAAACAAAAACAAATAAACTATACATGGAATTGTGTTAGACTCATAGGTCCCTTTTGGTACGAAACATTAAAAATAGGGAATAAAGTTGAGATTGAGAGTGCGAAACTATATTAAAAAGGCGTCTAGCTTGAGTAATTTTGTGATACTGTCTCTGGTTCTAAATATAAGAGCTAGTTAACTAATTTGAATAAATTAAAAAATAAGTTAAGCTAGTTATATGTAATAAATAAGTATTATTTTTCCTAAAATATCCTTACTAATCAAGCTTATTTGTTAAAACTACCATTATTAGAATGACCACCTTGGGAAAAAAATAAATAAATATGAGAGATAAAATAGATTGGGGTGTTATATTTAGGATTAAAATAAAAATCAAACGATATCTTATATTAAAGATCGGAGGTACTACTTGGGATTAGACAAACCCATATATATGGGATTGAGAAATATTATGAGGGGAGGAGGTATTCTTTAATCTTATTTACATGAGATTGCCTAATCTCATGTGATGAGAAATTATTTATGCTAAACATCATTTTAATATATGTTTTCAACCCTAATCTCAGTCCTTACTCCTCATTTTCAATGTTTGGTACCAAACATGACCAATGGGTTTTATGGATTGCCAATTAGCCATGTTTACTACCTAAACTAGCCTAAGGGTTAATAAAGATGAGACTTATTGCTATATGAAGTGGTCCAGACATTTTTATGCTCAACTATGGGTTTCTATGATCAGTTAAGTTGGGGCCTAACTATGTTAGTTATAACAACCCGTGACTAACCACAAATCTTAGCTGTGATAATTTTGAAAGCCTGGTTGTCATTTCTAAAATATCCCTCTGATCCTACTTATAAAATGTAGAAAGAATGTTCTTTTTGTCTTATTTATAAATTACTTTACTAAATTTAATTTTAACATGAATGTATTATTTTATTTTCATTTATTATTGTGTAGATTTTTTTTTGTGACAAGTGTATGTATTAAGTCAGTATAAAACTAAAAAGTCATTAAATTTTAAGACAGAGTAAATGGAGGTTTAATGTTTTTATTGGTTTTGATCAAATATATTAGAAGTAATTTATAAATAGGATCAAAGGAATATTGATTAAGTCTTACTCTTCTGGTCCTATTTATAAAGTGTTTTCAATATGTTTCACATAGAATAAAGAAAATCTTAAACTATATTAACTCTCCACTAAAATATAATAATTTTTTAACTTTATTCTTGTTTAATAATAAAAAAACAATTATCTACACTATGATAAATGGAAGACAAAATAGTATACGTTTATACTAAAAATTTAATAGAGTGACTTATAAATATGACCAAGAAAAACCTTCTCCCCCTATCTTATAAATAGAACCAGAGGAGTATTTAATTTTAACCATGCTTTCAATTTTATAGTAGAATTACATATTCTACATGATGATGCATATACTATGAATTTCTATCTTGTTAAGGTTAAAAATGTTTCGTTTAGTTTCTATGTTTTATGGTAGTAAGTATGGCTTAAATAGGATTGCATATTCCACAGGGTTGAAATGCACATGGTGATGATCACCTAATTAAATGTGAGTTTAGAGTCATGCGCTACTTGCATTCCTCTTTCATTTTAATTCTGTTCAATGTGAGCCAAACCTAACGTCTTTATCTCTCCAAGGTCCGCTACTCTACAAAACTAGATAGCTAAAATCACCTATCCTTTTTAGCTCTTACCCTCTCCTATCTTTACTACTCCCTCCCTCCCATTTTAACTTATTTATGAGCTTTAAATTTAGAAAAGGTATATAGTGTATTTCACAAACTTCAATTTGAGTTAATTCACATTCAATGTATTTTTTTAAATGTTGTCCTTAGTTATTATTCTTTCAACGTTTAATATATTTTTTCAATATTGTCCTTAATTATTATTATCTCTCATTTGCTATACTCCCTCTTATGATATTTCTCCATACATTTTCTTTCATTCTTTTTCTCATTTATTATAAAAACATATTTGAATATAAAAATATATTTCTTATTTTTTATTGCTTTTAACCGATTTTTTATTATTTACAAATTACTTATTTAAAGTTTATAACAAGAATTTGATTTGAAGGGAGCATAAGTCATATTTAAGCGTCTCAACGTAACCAAAGAAATGTAGCTGACTCATTAACTTTGTTTAAAAATAATTTTTTTTCTAACTCTACCTCTCCTTAAGAACATAGAGATTCACTACATCAATTTTTAACTATTATCCTAATAAATTGTACTCCTCTGATTTGAAATATAAGACACATTTTGTAATGCAGTTAGGTCTTATATTAATAATCAAAGGAGTAATAAGTATAACATTTTAAAAACAGTTAATTAATGACACACTTAGTGACCAATATATAGAACCATTAATTTCTTTCGGAAAGCGTCTTATATAAAATACGAAAGGGAGTTCGTTTATCGCTTATATATGATTGTGTAAAGAAATATTCTATATAGTTAGAGTCTATTGAATGTTTAGAGAAAGTATATGAGCGCATTTGTTACTATACATTATTGACTCAAAACCTTAAAGTGTTAATTAAGTTAATGGATCTTTTTTTGTTTACTTAATCTTCTTTCATTCTAATTATATTTTAATGTAAGACCAAGTAGCTAGTACTTTTCTTGTTTTAAAGTCAACTAAAGATAAATCTAGAATATTACTTGTGATTTTCTTTTAATATTTTGTTGGATTTTGAGATAATGAGGGTAGAGCTCCGCGTTATGCCGAACTTGTTTGCATTGTTTTAAGATCATCTAAGTTGTTCTATTAATTTCAGTAGCCATGCCGTGCCTAGCTCCATTTGTCAAACAAAAATTATAAGAGACAGTTTATAAAGTAATTACACTACAAATTAATGTTATATTTAGGATGAAAGATAGCAATACATTGGATCACTTATCTGGGAGGAAGCCAGCATCCAAATATATGTCGCCACGGGGAGTTCCATTAAAGAGGAGGTATTTGAGGCTTCAAGAATATGGAGGCTAATCACCTTAGCTTCCAGTCTGGTGGTATGAAAGTTTCTCTGTAAATGAGAGGTCGTGGGGTTCAATACTGCCTGCAATTTCAGGCTATTGATACATGTCCCTCCAATTTTTCTTTTTTGTTTTTTTCAAAGAACATAAAGGCATTGACCCTGACCTGGCTTTTGACTTTGCATCAATTTTAAGTGATTTTTGCAATATGTGAGAGAAATTTTGTTTTATACACAAGAGAGCTTTTTTTTTTTTTTAAGTGATTACGAGGGCTTAATTAGTTTTGGGTTTGGAGTTTGGACCTCAATTTTTGGTGCAACAGGATGCTCTCAAAAACATGTTTGGGTAGCCTATAAAATAAATAACTTCTTTCCCTTTTTGCGGACAAAAATTGACACATTTTAGAGAAAACGATGAAACTGTGGGGGAAGAACTCAAGGATCCCAAAGCAGATCCGTCCCTGCAAATGATCATGAGCTTATTATACTAAGATTTCAAAATATGTGAATTCAAATATATAAACGGAAATTATAAAGTATATAATTAATTTTTTTAATGTGTAAAATTTAATATGTGTAAAATTATTTTATGAATAATATTTTTTTAAAATAAATTAAATTACGCTCCCCAGTCTAAGATTTTGGCTCTGTCACCGCAATTATCATCCGCAAATGATCAAAAGATCACAATTATATTGGCCAGAACGTTTGATGATTTGATAAAATGAAACCACGATAAGAATTGATAAAAGGCTAGACCCATTTGATTCAGTGCTTATCAGATTTAATATCCATTTTTTTTGGGTCCTCGGCATGAATTGTCTAAATTTATATAAAAATTGAGGCACATCAAATTGTGTTTTTTTGCCAAAAAATTGTTTTATTTTTCTGAATTGTGGCATTTATTCTAGGATTAATGTGCAAATTTATCTCTCACATTATTTTTTATGTGCATTTAATATCCTGATATTCTTAGTGATGTAATTTTACCTATGATCTTATTTTCTTTTTTGTGTACCCAGCACAAGACACCTAATCTTTAGGATGTTGAATGTAACTAAAAAAAAATAACATCAGGATGTTAGGTGAGAAATATAATGAGGGTAAATTTTAAACATTTACAATTTATTTTATTGTGAAAAGAATTATATAATGCAAAACGAAAATAACTAGATGTGAATATTTCTCACGTATTACATAGTACTACCTCCAGTGCTCAATATAAGACCTTGTTTGATTTTTATTTTGGCCATAAATATAATACCTCAATCCAATTTATCTCTCGTATTTATATTTTTTTTTTCTAATTTAATCTTTCTAATAGTGATAGTGCTAGTCAATACAATTGATTAGCAATGATATTTTATGAAAGACAACACCTATTCATTACAAATAACTAACCTAACTTATTTTTTTAATCTCTTTAAATTAGTTAACTAGCTCTTATAATTAGGACATGAGGCAGTATACAAGGATTAACTTTGAAATTAAAATGACTTCGGTAAACTTTATTATATATTAATGGATTTATGTTGACACATCATTATATACATTTGAAATTCATATCCACTTGAGATTTTTGGCCAATTGATGAAAAGAGTTAAAAGACGATCCACCCTCCGACAAAGCTAGTTTTGCACTCTGTTTAAGTTCTTTAACCCTCTCTCTCATGCACGCACCTTCTTCCACCATTACTCTCCTTATCAGCCTCTGTATTTCATTCCTCTCCACCACCTCTGCTTTATTCCCACCGTTCTTCACCCTCACCGCCACCCCCAGCTCCTCCGTTAGCGCTGCTGCGTTCATCTTCTGCTTCGCATACATCGGCCACGCCATCATCGGCACACCATTGATGATCGCTTCAAGCGTAGAGTTCCAGCGACAATGTGTCATGAATGCCCCAACCGAAGAATGTTCTAGAATCTCTGACTGTGGGGCTCACGTGGGAACCACAAGTCCAAGCCGGTGGCTCCTGTTCAAGAAGTTCGCTAGCAAGCTGTCTGTGTTTTTACCGTCCCCCAGCTTGAACAATGAACCGTGATTCGTAGCGGTTTTCTCTCCATGTGGCGGTCGAACCACCCAAATGAATCTCTGTTGACTTAACTCCAAACCGTAAGCTATTTCTTCCATTTGTGCCTCTGACATGGTCCCACCACTTCCAAATGACACAAAAATAACCGACTCGGCTGGTTGCCGATCTAGCCAACTCAAAACTTGATCATGATCCATCTTAGTCCGGTTCGGATTCACGCCTCTCACTAACGGTCCAACCGGATAAATCTTTTCCTTAATAATCCCACTTCTTAAAGTTCGAACCACGCTAGTCTCAAGGGCTTCCCATGTATTAACCAAAACTCCATCAGCGTTTATTATATCTGATCCTATTTGTAAGAACATCTCGTGCTCCATTGGTACTTAATCTTTAAGCAATAACGGTTCCATGGTGTCTTCGAACCGAAGCGGTTTACAACCCGGAATGGGAAGCGGTTCATGGAGTTTCACATGCCTGTCTAACAGTTCCTTCTCCATAACTGGAACATGCACAGCAAGAGCAAGAACCCATGCACTGGAAGTGAAAAACACGTAGGTAAGCATCTCGAGGTCACGTGCCATGGCGAAAGCATCAGTGCCGAACAAATCAACGATGAGAGCTATTGGACGAAGCTTCATTGAGAGAAAAGCAGAGCGAAGAAGTGGGAGCGCTTCCTCCATTGTTAACCTGATTCGAGCTCCGAACTGTGATGAGTTCAATGGCTTGAGCTTGCTGGAAACATCTACAGGTGGGAGTACGATGACGTTTAGGGCGGCAGCGGTTTTAGGGTTTGATGAAGTTTGGTGGACTATCTGCGAATGTGTGGTTGAAGAATCAGTGGTCACAATGAAGATGGTAACGTCGAAGCCATCATTAGACATCAGACACTTGCCCAGCTCAAGCATTGGAATGAGATGGCCGATTCCTGGGCTGCAGAGCAAAGCAACGCTAGGGTTTCCGACAGTTAAGACCATGTTGATGGTGTTGGAGAAGATGAAGGTAGAAGAACTTGTCTATGGAAGAAGAGACGAGAGACTCGAAGCTCACTTGCATATTCTTCAAATAATCACTGGTATTTATAGGAATGGTGCTAGACTCAATAGAGTTTTATGGATTGCCAATTAGCCACGTTTACTGTCTAAACTGACCTAAAGCTTAATAAAGATGAGACTTATTGCTATATGAAGTGGTCCAGATATTTTTATGCTCAACTATGGGTTTATATAATCAGTTAAGTTGTGGCCTAACCATGTTAGTTATTACAACACGTAACTAACCACAAATCTTAGCTGCGATAATTTTGAAAGCCTGGTTGTCACTAGAACTTACCTAGGATTTCTAAATTACCTAGAAAGAATGTTCTTTTTATCTTATTTATAAATTACTTTACTAAATTTAATTTTAACATGAATGTATCATTTCATCTTCATTTATCATTGTGTAGATTATTACTTTTTCAACAAGTATATATATTAAGTAAGGATCAAGTTGAAAAATCATTAAATTTTAAGGTAGAGTGAATGAGGTTTAATGTTTTTATTGGTTTTGAGCAAGTATATTAGAAGTAATTTATAAACAAGATTGAAGGAATATTGATTCGAAGGAATATTGATTAAGTCTTACTCTTCTAGTCCTATTTATAAGGCACTTTTAGCATGTCACACATAGATTAAAGAAAACCTTAAATTGCATTAATTATCCATTAAAAGATAACAACTTTTTAACTGTACCCTTATTTAATATATACATATTTTAAAAAAAATTATCTATGTTATGATAAATAAATGACAAAATAATATATTTATACTAAAAATTTAAAGAAATAACTTGTGAATATAATCAAGAAAAACCTTCTCCCTCCACCTTAAGAACCAGAGGACTATTTAATTTTAACCACGTTTTCAATGTTATAGTAGTATTAGATATTCCACATGATGATGCATATACTATGAATTTCTTTGTTCTTAAGGTTACAATGTTTCGTTTAATTTCTTTTTTTTTAATAGTAGTAAGTATGGTTTAAATAGGATTGCATATTCCACATGGTCGAAATGCACATGGCGATGATCACCTAATTAAATGAGAGTTTAGAATCATGTGCTGCTTGTACTCCTCTTTCATTTTAATTCTGTTCAGTTTGAGCCAAACCTAACGTCTTTTTCACTCCAAGGTCAGCTAATCTACAAAACTAGATAGCGAAAATCACCTTTCCTTTTTACTCTTACTCTATCCTATCTTTACTACTCCCTCCCTCCCATTTTGATTTATTTATAAGCTTTGAATTTAAAAAAAGGTATATAATTCATTTTATAAGCTTCAATTTGAGTTAATCTTAACATTTAGTATATTTTTTTCGGTGTTATCCTTAATTATTATTCTCTCTCCTTTGCTATACTCCAAGAAACAAAAAATCAGACAGAACACTAAAATCGGTTGAGGTAGTGGTTTAAAGGTTAGTTAGTTAGATCGAGGTCAACTCAGAGTCAAACTGATCTTATTAAAATAATATAATTTAATTAAAAATAATAAAATACGATAATATTAATAATCATTAACAACAAAATACAAGAAAACAAAGCAATAGTTTGATTGTAATAATAACAAAGTACAACAACATTGAAAATTTTGACCTTTACAATTTATCAATAACTAAAATTAATAATCATTGATACCAAAATCATTATTAAAATTCACTCAAATCTATAGTGACTGAGATATTAGAAGCTAAATAAAGAAAAATGGGACTGATAGCAACAAAACCATCCAATCAGTTCATCCCCAGTTCATACTATTTTTTAGAGGGTTTCACTAGTTCACCCCGATTCATTGATGAGGAGGAGGAGGAGGTTGAGGAAGAGAGAATCGAATCTCGCTTGTATAGTTTTCGCTTGCTTGGCTTTGCTTCAAATAGTCACTGGTATTTATGGGCTGAGAGAGAATACGTGTTGGCAGTTTAGTTTAATTGTGAAAAGGGAATTATAAGGGGGAAAAAACTCTATGGAAGGATGATGAATTATAACATTCATTTCTTATAGGAAAGTGAATTATAATATTTTAGGTAGATATTGATATAAAAAGTTGAAAAAAAAAACTCTAAAAGACGCGACTAGCTCTACATGTATGCACAGTTATTAATTAATACGTTAATTGCTTTAATATATTTTGGCCAAAAAATTGCTTTAATATATAGATCTAAAAATTAAGCCAGAAGGACGTGACTCAATATATGTTTGTCAAGAATGAATCATTCTAAGAAGTCTTTTTTGTTTTTGTCTCTTTTAGGAATCAACCTTAAAATGGCATATGACTGTAATATTCTAGGTGCAATGAATCTAGAAAATTCCAACAAAAAAAATATATTCTTGTCACAGGCAATGGCTTACTAATAAGGAATTCATGAGAAAGTTGATTTGGGTAGAAAGACAATAAATCCAATTTGATTGAGGCTCAACCAAAAGAAAAAAGTTAATTAATTATCTGAACACACACACATATACACACACGCATGTATAAAAAAAAAAAAGCACACACACATATATACACGTAATACCTCATGTCTTTAATATAAAAGTTATTTGGAAATTCAATTTGATCCTAAATATAATATCTCAATTCACTTGGTCTCTAATATTTATTTATTTTGCCTCGAAGTAATACACATGATTAATATGAATATTTTAAGAGAGACAACATCTATTTATTACAAAATAACTAACTCAACTAATTTGTTCAATTTTTAGAAATTAATTTGTAGCTTTTATAGGATTATTAGAAGTAGGAGATACACACACACACACATATATATATGGAATGGTAAAACAATGATTACATACATCAAACTTATACACTAATCACTTCAAGAGAGGTGCATGAATTGCCTAGTTTTTTAGGTATGTCAACCTGAAAAACTGGAAAAGGCATGACTCTAAAATACATTTATATTTTATTTAATAATACCAATACATATATCAATATGTTACATACTAATATTCCATCATCTAATTCACACACCCGCAAAGAAGAGAAATTTTGATTATCTTTCCTGACACATTGTGATTTTTGCTCACGCAGATGAACCTTACAATAGTTGGCCAGTTGATAAATAGAGTCAAAAGATGATCCAGCCTCAGACAAAGTCATTTTTGCGCCACGTTGAAGCTTTTTAACCCTTTCCCTCATGTACACACCTTGTTCTTCCACCATCACTCTTCTTGTCAGCCTCTGTATTTCCTCTCTCTTCACCACCTCTGCTTTATTCCCACCCCTCTTCACCCTCACCGCCACCCCCATCTCCTCTGTCAGCGCCGCCGCGTTCATCTTCTGCTCCGCGTACAACTGCCACGCTATCATCGGCACACCATTGGTTATCGCTTCAAACATCGAGTTCCAGCCACAGTGACTCATGAATGCCCCGACTGAAGAATGTTCTAGAATCTCCAACTGTGGGGCCCACATGGGGACCATAAGCCCTAACTCGTGGGTCCTACTCAGGAATTTCTCTAGCAAGCTATCTGTGTTGTTTTCTCCATACTCAAGCTTGAAGTATGAACCATGATTTGCACTGGTTTTTTCTTTATGTGGCGGCCGAACCACCCAAATGAATCTCTGCTGGCTTAACTCCAAAACATAAGCCATTGCCGATCTAGCCATTAATGGCTTAACTTCCATTAGTGCCTCCGACATGGTCCCACCACTCCCAAACGACACGAAAATAACTGACTCAGCCGGTTGCCGATCTAGCCAACTTAAAACCAGATCATGATCCTTCTCGGTTCGGTTTGAATTGATGCCTCTCACTAACAGTCCGACCGGATAAATCTTTCCCCTTATAGCTTCACCACTTAATAAAGCTTTAAGTGTCGTTGGCTCAAGTTCTTGCCATGTGTTCACTAGAATCCCATCAGCGTCAACTATGTTCATACATATTTTCATGAAGCCCTCAAACACCATTGGTTCATCTTTAAGCAACAATGGTTCCATGGTGACCTCGAACTGAATCGGTTTACAGCCCGGAATCTGCAGCGGTTCATGGTGTTTTACATGCCGGTCTAGCTGCTCCTTGTGGATGATGGGAATGTTTACATGAAGAGCAAGAACCCATGCACTGGAAGTAAAAGACACAAACCGAGCATCTTGAGGTCGCGTGCCATAGTAAAAGCATTAGTGCCAAACATGTCAACAATGAGGGCTATTGGAAGAAATTTCATTGAGAGAATGGCAGAACGAAGAAGCGGGAGCGACTCGCCCATTGTGAACCTGATTTGATTTCCTAGTTGTGAGTTTAGTGCACCGAGGTTGCTAGAGACATCTACGGGTGGGAGTACGACAACGTTTAGGCCAGTGTTTTTAGGGTTTGAAGCTTGTTGGATTATCTGTGAATGTGTGGTTGACGAATACATAGTCACAACAAAGATGGTAACTTCAAAGCCATGATGAGAAATCAGACGTTTACCAAGCTCAAGCATTGGAATGAGGTGGCCCATATTCCTGGGCCACAAAACAATGCAAAATTAGGATTAAGTCTAGTTATCATGACCTTGGGAAGAAGAGAGAAGAAGAAGAATATGAAAGGAGACACTTGACTTAAAACTTGCTTGTAATTCTGATTGCTTGGCTTGCTTCAAATCACTAGTATTTATAGCCTCGTTTTAGCATATGTAGAGCATGTTTGAATCACAATTACAAGCGCCAAAAGCTCATTGGAAATGATAAAATTAAGGTTGCAAACTGAGTTGGACAAAGATTGTTATTCGGCTGGGCTAACTTTTTCGACCAACTTCTGGTCTTCAATCTCAGTTGGACTCAATAGAAAAAAATTTGACTTTTCAAACTGCGGTTTCAAACAGTAATTATTAAAAATGAGCATTACAGATTTACCCTCATATTTTCCCCCTGTCTCATCTTCTTCATTAGCATAATGAGCTTTTATTTAGACTAAATGAATTTTAATTTATACTCATGTTTTTCCATTATGTATATTTAATTAATTATCTACAATGTGCTTTCAAATTTTTCTTCTTAATAAATATTTTTATTTTATAATTTCACGAATAAACTATTTATATTTTATCATAATAATTTTACGTATTTTTTAAACTATTGTCACATTAAAAATATAAAATTTGAAATATTACTATTCAATAAAGTTCATGTCCTTTTCAGTCATTTTACAACTAAACTAACTTTTCTATTAATCATCCAAATAACTTTCAACTTTTTCAATTGACTTTTTAAAAACACCTATCTAAACATACACTAATTGACTTTTACTCTAATTTCAGTTACAAAAATCACTTGAGCTAGAAATCAGTTTTGCCTAATGCTAATCTAAACATACCCGTAGGCAGTGACAAGAAATTTCATGCTCATGCAGCCAAAAAAAAAAAAGAAAAAAGAAAAAAACAAAGAAAGAAAATTAATGGCTCATATCATCTTTTATCTAAGTTGTGAAATCAATTATCAAAATTTTATTATTCAATTTCAGTTTGACATTTACTTCTATATATCACAGGGTTTAGGTAATTTTAATTACCGAGAACTTCTTCGAAGTAATCTTTTGTTAATGTTTCTCTCAACATACACTTACAATTAACAACTTTAAAAGAAAGTTGTTTTACAAATCAACTCATCCAAATGAATAATGCGGCAGTCGATAAGTTTTATTATATATGTATTTATATTGATATATTACTATTTTTTAATATATTCTTGGGTTGAAAAAAAAACAAATAAACTATATATGGAATGGTGTTAGACTCATAGGTCCGTTTAGCACAAAGCATTAAAAATAAGGAATAAAAATTGAGATTGAGAGCGCAAAACTATATTAGAAAGGTGTTTAGCATGAGTGATTATGTGATATATAGTACCTCTTGTCCTAAATATAAGAACTAGTTGATTAATTTGAGTAAATTAAAAAAATAAGTTAAGTTAGTTATATGTAATAAATAAGTATTATTTTTTCTAAAATATTTTTACTAATTGAGTTTATTTGCTAGAACTACCATTATTAGAAGGATTATCTTTGAAAAAAAAACAAATAAATATGAGAGACAAAGTGGGTTAAAGTCTTGTATTTAGGACCAAAATAAAAGTTAAACAAAATCTTATATTAAAGTCAAACAAACCCATATATATGGGATTGGGGAATATCATGAGGGAAGGTGGTATTCTTTAATCCTATCTGTGTGGGATTGTCTAATCTCATATGATATGCTAAACATCATTTTAATATATGTTTTCAACCCTAATCTCAGTCCTTACTTCTTATTTTTAATGTTTGGTACCAAAAGTAACCAATGGGTTTTATGGATTGCAAATTAGCCACGTTTACTGCCTAAACTAGCCTAGAGGTTAATAAAGATGAGACTTGTTGCTGTATGAAGTGGTCCAGACATCTTTATCTCAACTATGGGTTTCTATGATCAGTTAAGTTGTGGCCTAACCATGTTAGTTATAACAACCCGTGACTAACCACAAATCTTAACTGCGATAATTTTGAAAGCCTGGTTGTCACTAGAACTTACCTAAGATTTCTAAATACTCCTGTGATCCTACTTATAAAATGTAGAAAGAATGTTTTTTTTTGGTCTTATTTATAAGTTGCTTTACTAAATTTAATTTTAACATTAATATATTATTTTATTTTTATTTATTATTTTGTAGATTTTTTTTTTTGACAAGTGTATGCATTAAGTAAGTCTAAAATTAAAAAGTCTTTAAATTTTAAGGCAGAGTGAATGAGGTTTAATGTTTTTATTGGTTTCGATCAAATATATTGGACGTAATTTATAAATAGGATCGAAGGAATATTGATTAAGTCTTACTCTTCTGTCCTATTTATAAAGCATTTTCAGTATGTTTCGTATAGAATAAAAAAAATTTGAAACTACATTAACTCTCAACTAAAATATAATAAATTTTTAACTTTATTCTTATTTAATATATACACATTTTAAAAAATAATTATCCACATTATGATAAATGGAAGACAAAATAGTGTGTTTATACTAAAAATTTAATGGAGTAACTTATAAATATGACCAAGAAAAACTTTTTCTCTCTACCTTATAAATAGAATTAGAGGAGTATTTAATTTTAACCATGCTTTCAATTTTATAGTAGTATTACATATTCTACATGATGATGCATATACTCTGAATTTCTATGTTGTTAAGGTTAAAATGTTTCATTTAATTTCTATGTTTTATGGTAGCAAGTATGGCTTAAATAGGATTGCATAGTCCACATGGTTGAAATGCACATGGTGATGATCACCTAATTAAATGTAAGTTTAGAATCATGTGCTGCTTATATTCCTCTTTCATTTTAATTCTGTTCAATGTGAGCCAAACCTTACGTCTTTATCTCTCCAAGGTCCACTGCTCTACAAAACTAGATCGCTAAAATCACCTATCCTTTTTAGCTCTTAACCTCTCCTATCTTTACTACTCCCTCCCTCCCATTTTAATCTATTATAAGAACATATTTAAATATAAAAATATATTTCTTACTTATTTATTGTTTTTAACTGATTTTTTATTATTTACAAATTAATTATTTAAAGCTTACAACAAGAATTTGATTTGAAGGGAGCATAAGTCATATTTAAGCGTCTCACCATAGCCAAGGAGATGCAGTTGACTCATTAACTTTGTTTAAAAATAATTTTTTTTCTAACTCTACCTCTCCTTAAGAACATAGAGATTCACTATATCAATTTTTAAGTATTATCATAATAAATTGTACTCCTCTAATTTAAAATATAAGACCCATTTTGTAGTGCAGTTAGGTCTTATATAATAACTGAAGGAGTAATAAGAATAACATTTTAAAAAAGTTAATTAATGACACACTTAGTGACCAATATAGAGAACCATTAATTTCTTTTAAAAAGCGTCTTATATAAAATACCAAAGGGAGTTCGTTTATCGCTTATATATGATTATTTAAGGAAATATTCTATATAGTTAGAGTCTATTGAATTTTTAGAGAAAATGTATGAGCGCATTTGTTACTATACATTATTGACTCAAAACCTTAAAGTATTAATTAATTTAATAGATCTTTTCTTTGTTTATTTAATCTTCTTTCATTCTAATTATATTTAATGCAAGACTAATTAGCTACTACTTTTCTTGTTTTAAAGTCAACTAAAGATAAATCTAGAATATTACTTGTGATTTTCTTTTAATTTTTTGTTGGATTTTGAGATAATGAGGGTAGAGCTCCTCGTTATACCGAACTTGTTTGCATTGTTTTAAGATCATCTACATTGTTCTATTAATTTCAATAGCCATGCACACTACACAAAAATTGACTTTCAGCGGCGATAAAAGTCGCCACTGAAAGTCTTCAACGACGACAAGTCGTCGCTGAAAAGTCGTTGCTGTAGCAGCTATGGCTGAAAACTTTCAGTGGTGACTAAAAAAGTGGCCGCTGAAAGATACTTGCAGTGGCGACTTTTAGAAGTTTCGGATGTCGCCGCGGAAAAGTCTTTCGGCGGCGACAATAATGTCGCCGCTGAAAGACACTTTTGGAATGTCGTCGCTGAAAGACTTTTCAGCGGCAACAAATGTCGTCGCCGAAAGTGTTTTCCGCGGTGACTTTTTTGTCGCCGCTGAAAGTAATGCCTAAGAAGAATTGGCTTCACCAACGCCACGTCATCGTCGCCGGCCACCACATCATCGTCACTGGCTGCCACTTCATCACCGCCGGTGCCATGTCATTGTCACCAGCCGCCACATCATTACTGTCGGTTGCCACGTCATCATCATCGACGGCCACGTCATCACCACCAACCACCACGTCATTACCACATCACTCATTCTCGCCACATCATCATTCAAATATTTTCACCTTAAATGTGTATTCTTCAAGGTTCAAACTCGTGACTGCCTCCTTTCGTGTCCAATCTTCTTGCCGCTGAGCCAGATTGAATTTGTTTATTAATATTGTAAAATAAAATATATATTATTATA